ATTTTTTCCATTTCTCATCATTTTTCCTTTCCCTTCTTTCCTTTCCCCTGCCCCTCCCACTACCCCTGCCCCTTTGGACCTTTTCTTCCTATTTTGCATTGCATTATCGATTATTCATTTTAAATGTTCACATAAACTTAAATATGCTTGTCTTTAATTACACATATATGAAAAAAAACTTCAAGACACCATTCCATAATCTAGGAATCTTTTTTGTTTTTCTTTGGTTTTTTTGGTACCGGGTTTGGAATTCAGGACCTTGCACTTGCAAGACAGGCACAGTACCACTGAGCTAAATCCTTGGCCCCAAAATCTAGTTTTTAAAGCAGTACAATATAAATAAAACTAATTAATAAGTAAAAAATACATGAAGGTATAAATTCCTAATGTTACTGTATTTATAGGCATTGAGCTAAAAATTTTGGGGGAAAATTATAATTTTTTTATTATACAAACTCTTTTTTAAATGCTCAGTCACCAAGCCAAAATCATCCCAATCATAAAAAAGTGAATTTCTGAGCACAGAACCCATCAGGATATGTCCCAGACCTACAGCTTCTTGAAATGCAAGCAGAATGTTCAAATCAGTATTATGTTAAAGCAAGCACCAGGAAGCTGCAGTGTCAATGCCTATAGGACCAATGAGGAAACTGTAATTAGGTCCATGTCCAGGCTACATCTGCCTTGAAATACACTTTCCTATTTACTTTATGTGGCAATCACTAGAATGCACTAATCTGCAAGCACAGAAATCACAACTAAAGGTGGCTTAAACAACCAAGACATTTATCATCTTACTAAAAATTCCAGGACAAGTGTAACATGAATTTGCATTTGAGAATATTCAGTTCTGTCAGATGAATAAATTTGAGGTTTCTACAATTTAGGCGCACACACTTTAAGTATAGATGAGTAGCTAGTAATAGGATATTCTTCATAAGAAGGACACATATAGAAAGGGATAGATCATTGAGAGGTATCTAATATTCGTGAAGTACCTAGGTAATAAATGTTCACAATATACTAAATACATAAGAGACATTAAATATGCACGAGGGCCGGGGATTTAGCTCAGTGGTTCATGCACCTGCCTCGCAAGCGCAAGGTCCCGAGTTTGATCCCTGGTACCAAAAAAATATATATATATATTCACAATACATTTTTGTTTTTTCTTTTTTTGTTGTTTTTTGGTCCCAGGGATCGAACTCGGGTCCTTGCACTTGCACAGCAGGTGGCGAAACCACTGAGCTAAATCCCCGGCCCAGATTTTTGTTTTTTCAATGTTAGGAATCAAACCCAGGGCCTCACAGATTCTAGACAAGTGCTGCACCATTCCTATCCCCAGGATACATTAAATATATATAAGCAATTACTATTAATATTCATGAGTTCTTAATTTAACTGACCACCCACTGGCTCTATGTAGGGCTTTTCAACTTTGACCCTACTGACATATTGGACCAGATAATTCTTTGTCTTAGTAGATTATCTTATGTATTACATCATATTTAGCAGCATACCTGGATTCTACCCATTTCCTATACATGCCAGGCATGACAATCAAAAAATGTTTCCAGACATTGCTAAATGGGCGGGAGAGGGGGTGCTGCTGACACTTAGTCCTACCCCATGTGTCCTCTGTTCAAGAATCACAAGTAGAACCCACATGGTGTTTGTCAGGCTAATTGGCAAGCTACAGCTACTAACCAGGCATATTGATTCTGTGTCTTTCAGATACAGTAAGTTGGGGTCATTCAATCATGGCATCTGCCATCTCTGGGGCTTGGCCTAACCTCAAATCAGGGCCTGTAAGCAGACCATCAGTGGGGCAGGCACATGCAGCAGTGAGGAACAGGATACACAAGCCTGTGTGCCCCAGGTTAACCACATGCAGCCTCTCACCCACGTACACCTTATCCTAAGTGTGCCAGTCTACTTATCTCTTTCCTCTCACTTCTTGCTATGTGACTGCTATCAGACTGGTAGCAAACTGTAATGTAAGGACTCCAATCTGGTCTGTGGAGGTTTCTGTCCCCTCAGCTCTGGGATAACTTACCTGGTAGCACACCTGGAAGCTGCCACTGTATCATAATATTACAGGCAGCTAAGTTAGGTAGAATATTATAAGCAGTCAGAGAGGGCTAGGCCCTCAAGAGAATCAGGACAAAATTAAAACACATTACATCCATGACCAGAGACACATATGTTAGAGGGAAGGCCTCAAGATAAAGACAAAATGGCCAGCCCTATATACTTCCCAAAAGGACAAGATAAGTTATATACCCGGCCTGATGAAGTCCAGATAGACATCAGCCACCCTGATGGGTGGCCAAGACCTCTGAACCCATCACTTCCTAGAAAAAGTCTTTTGTTACCTCCATGCACACTTGTTACATGACTTGTTTCCCCACTGGATCACTATTACCTAAGTGACTACACTTGTAACCTTATTGGCTGATGATAGCTTTAACCCATGTTGTACCCATGAGGTTGTGCTTTATAAATCTTCCCCTATGAGTTCAATCTCTGGTACCAAAAGGAAAAAACTTCCCCTAAAAAGTGGGGTCCTTAGCTACCCATTCAACCCATCCTGTCTCTCAGGAGCTATCTTCTCAATAAACATTTCCTACTCTTAACCTCCATTATTCCTAGAATTCATTCTTTGATTTTAGAGAACATGAACTCAGTGTATCAGATATATAACAGGTTGGGAACCATAATGTTTCCCTTACATCATATTTGTAAGTCCTGATAACGTTTCCTATATTAATACTAGTTTCCCACCTCAAGGCACTTCTGGGGTTAGTCCATGTGGTGGCTCAGCACAACTAGTAAGACCAAGATGTATTCAACTTTCTGCTCTACCATTAATCAGTATGGTTGTTGGCTTGTCCTATAACTGGCTTCTCCCACAGCTGCTGCAATTCTAAGCATCTTGTGAAAGTTAGAAATAGCCCAAGGTGGTTTTCTGATTCTCCTCCCTCTGTGGGTCGGGCGCTGAAGGTTCCACATACCACACTCCCTTAAAAAGAAAGCACAATTCCCAAAATAGAAAAGTATGTAGTTGCTGTTCCCACGAAAGAAAAATATACAGGTGGGGACTTGTTGAAATTCTCCTGCTGACCAGGATTAAAAAGAATTGGACTGGATTCAGTGCAGTGTTACCACTTTGGTTGGTCCCCTAAAGTCCCCAAATGCAAAGATCAAGTACAGTAGTGTGATCAACCTCCTGACCTCCTCAATGGGGAAGTGACTGAGGCAATGAAACAAGTGTTTGGACACAATGAAGTGGTGGAATATAAATGCAATCCTAGATCTCTGTTGAAGGGGCCAAATAAAATCCAGTGTGTTGACAGAGAGTGGACAACCTTGCCAATATGTATTGAGGAGGAAAGAACATGTGGAAGCATACCCAAATTTGCCTATGGCTATGCCCTGGCTGCTGAGGCTCCCTATCACCATGGACATTCAGTGGACTTCAATTGTACCGAAACCTTCACAATGATTGGACACAGAGCAATCACATGTATTAGCAGAACGT